CTGCGGGAAGACAGACCTGTAAGTGTCCTGCGATGACACCTGGCTGCGGCGGCGCTCTTCAGGGATTAGGAGGAGGCTCTGCTGAGGTTGCTATGATGACACATGCAAACCGAGGCTTTTACATCGCAATAGCATGATAAGGCAGGATATTAATTTACAGCACGCGCTCAAATACCTCAGTGGTATTAGGGGCAGTCAGAGTGCTCGGCGTGCATGTGACATGGCGCTACTGAATGCGAGTAAAGAAAGCCTGCGCCTCAGTGTTGAAATAGGACGTTGTGGTTCGGCAATCTTGAGCTTGCGCTGAGGGTTGTTGTTCTACTGTGGTCCTACTGGAACACATGGTGAAATGCCGCAGAGGACAGCTATATTTCTGGCGTGGAAGTTTTGTGTTTGATGAATATGAACAGATTCGGTGCTTATTGAAGCTGCATTCGATATCGTATTATAGAGGTTGTAAATAGTGATCTCGATATAGTGAGTCATTCTTTCTACACGAGCTGCGTGACCTTTACGTCGGTGGGAAAGATTCATAATTTACATAGAGACATGAACGATGACACATTTTTAGCACTGTGTTAGAACCTAAGCAAGAGAACCTATGAAGAACAAGGGCTGACATGACGGCTCCGCTTCGTGGCTTCCAGTTTTGTATCGAAGGAAAGTGTGTAAACAGGAGCAGCTGCACGAAAATTAGTTGAAATGCTTCAAACCCGAAAGGATATTATTCTTCATCTGCGAGTCAAATGTGCCACGGAGGCGAAGCAACAGCCACATGACTTGCAAGACTAGAAATATGATCAGCTCAGTGACTAATACAAAACTGTTCTATTCCGAAGTTTAATTTGAATCTGCAAGGGACCTTTGCGTCTTAGGGAACTGAGACCAGAAGACCCATCGAGAGGCGATCAAAGCATTCGAAACAAAAACGGGTTCGAACTTACACAATCAAATACTACATTACTCATATGTACAAAAAAAAGCAAACCGCGACATTCAGTTAAAGGGATATTCTAGCATAATTTCCGCCTTTCTTCGCTTTTCATTTACACATAAATATTTGAATATAAGATGAATAAACTAATATAGATTTAAATATATATCTATATATAGACATACAAACACACACACGGATACATATGTATATATATATATAATATACATATATATATAAATATAAAAAAATATATATATATATATGCATATATATATACATATATATATATATACATATATATATAAATATAAAAAATATATATATATATGCATATATATACATACATATATATATATATATATATATATATATATATATGTATATCCTCTCCGATCGGGATTCTATCCGTCGCTGCCGTTGCACATGAATGCAACAAGTCGCTCTAACAACTCATACATGACCCACTAAAAGGAGCGTGGAACTAGGCGTTATGTAGCGTCCACAGATATTACCTAACTACTCATACATGAGTAAGTATAGCAAAGTTTTACGCTCACTCCCCGTGGGCACTTCATATACATAGAAAGAACAGATTAAAGGTCAGGTAATATCTATGGATACTAGAGAGCGCCCAGTTGCACGCTCCTTTTAGTGAGTCGTTTATGTGGTTAGAACGATTGTCTTGCATTCACGTGCAACGGCGGCGAGGATCGAATCCCAATCGTAGAGGTTATATATATATATATATATATATATATATATATATATATATATATATATATATATATATATATATATATATATATATATATATATATATATATATATATATATATATATATATATATCTGTGTGTTGTGTGTGTGTGTGTGTGTGTGTGTGTGTATGTGTGTATATATATATATATATATATATATATATATATATATATATATATATATATATATATAATATATCATTTATATATACATATATATTTTTTTTTCCTTTTTTCCTTCTTTTATATGTATATATATAAATAGATATATTTATGTATGTATATATATATATAAATATATAAATAAATATATATGTATGTATGTATACATACGTATGTATATATATTTATATATGTCGTTACAGGTTTGCCACTTAAGCGTCGAACAGTCAAAACGAAGAGGTAGACTAACACCGCCGTGAATAGTTTCATGTTTATTAATCAGACGTTTCGAAGATTAATCAAATCTTCATCATCAGTGCTGTAATAATGAACCAGAAAAAATTGCAATTAGACAAATTCATTAATTGGTTTGGTTCTCTACATTTAAACTAGACATAATACAAAAACGTAAATAAAAGAACGTAAATGACAGAACAAAAACTGTGAAAATACAATATACACACAAAATATATATATATATATACAGAAAAATAGAAATGACAATATGCAAAACTAACCAATCTGGGTGAAAGTCAGTAGTCAGAAGTGTCTAGCTGGTAAACAAGGTGGTTGCGGTAATTGTGTTATTCAGCTCGGGTTTCATCTTTCGGATCAGCAATGACTCTGAGATAATGAGGTCTTGGCGGGATGAGTGTGAGGCTAGTATATGGAAATCTGTTTTAGAGAAAGGATGTGAGTGTTTGTGAGAGTGTTCTCTTATGGCCGAGAACGATGGTCTGCTCAGTGGAAGTCCAGTGCGAAATGACAAACCTTTATGTTCCAATATGCGGTGGTGTAACCATCGTGAGGTTGAGCCCACGTACCTGACTTGGCAGTCAGGACAGGTAAATAAGTAAACAACATTAGAACATAAGTTGGTGTGACATTTCGTAGGCTGTTTTAAAAAATTTGCACTAGAATTGTTGTTGCTAAAGACAAACGTGAATTTTATTTGTGGGTAATTGTTTTGTAGAAGCATCTTTAATTGTTTTCTAATTTCAAAGCTTAATTTCCCCATAAAAGGCAGTTTCACATATCTATGATCTCTATTTGCTGTTGATACAGTAGGTTGATTCGAGAATTTCTTACATAGAAAAGTCTTAGTAATTTTGTCAAATAAATACAGTGGATAACCGTTTCTTACAAAAAAATCTTTTAGAAAATTCATTTCATCATGGAAGGAAGACTAGTTGCTACACAGGTTGTAGGCTCTCGTGATGAGTGTTTTTATACTGTTTATTTTGTAGATGTATGGGATATTGCTAAGAAAGTGAAGGCCAAGGCCGGTAAAGGTTGGTTTACGGTAGATACTTGTGTGGAAGCGTCCATTACCATTGGTTACATACATGTCTAAAAAGGGTAGTTGGTTGTTCTGTTGTGTTTCGCAAGTAAATTTAATGCTCTGGTGTTTAGAGTTGAGATAATTCAAAAATAAATTTACGTGCGAAGGGTGTTTGAACATGACAAAAGTATCATCAATATATCGTCGGTAGTAAATAGGTTTGAATTCTGGTGGGCATTGGATTAACCAATTATGTTCATGGTAACAAAGAAATGCATTGGCGTATGAGGGGCCAAGTGGGGATCCCATTGCTACTCCGTCTGTTTGGGTATATGGATCATTATCATACGAGAATACAGAGTGATGAGCTGCAATATGGAGTAACTTTTTAAAGCTATCTTTAGTTAAATCAAATTTGTTAAGATGAGTGGAGTTTATGTTGTTCACTATAATCTCCGATGTTTCCAGAAGTGGCACGTTCGTAATAATGATTCCACGTCGAAACTCGCCATGGTGATGGGTTGTTCAGGGTTTAGTGAAGTGATTTCATTTGCAAAAACTGTGGAATTTTCAATTGTGTACTGATTCGTAGTTAACGGAGAAATAATTGGAACCAGAAACTTAGCAGTGTTATAGTTAAAAGTGCCAATCGAGGAAATAATGGGTCTTAAAGGAATGTTTGGTTTGTGTACTTTGGGGAGACCATATAACAATCCGGGTTTGGAACCCGAGGTTGACAGGAAATTATAGGTGCTTGCATCAATGGATGATTTCATGGTCCGGAGTAGTCTTTTTAACTTATCTTCAAGGTATAACAAGTGAGTGGACATTTCAGTAGTGATTCTCTTGAATTTAGTATGGTCACTAAGAATATTAAGTACTTTCTGATGATAGTCGTCTTTGTTTAAAATGACTACTCCCCGACCTTTGTCTGGTTTGGTGATTATTATGGACTCGTCATTCTTAAGTGATTGTAGAGGTGACGTGAAACGTTCTGCATCACTTGTTTGATTAGCCAGACGAGAGAATTTCTTGAAGGTGTTGTTGGCTATAGTTGAAATATTATTGGTGACATTATGAAATGAGTTATTATAAATATCATAGTTCTTTAGATTGTTACAAAGCTTTTCAAAATAGAGGTAAAATTTGTGAAAAGAAACCTTGGTTGGAGGCATACAATAATCCAGGCCATGAGAGAGAATATCTTTCTGTTCTTCGGTTAAGATTTTCTCAGAAAAATTAAAGATGACTTTGCTTTTTTCCACTTTTTTTCTCAATATCAATTCCTAGTTTCAAAAGTTTGTTACTGTGAATTTTGTCAACTTCAAGTAGTTTTTTATGGACATTCTTATTGATGAGTCTCTTGATACAGATATAGTCTAAGGGAGATAGTTTAGAATTCAATAATGTTAATTCCTTATTGAGTTTTTCAGTGATTACAGATTATTTTTTCTTTTGACTGAGGATTTTTCTGTCTAGGAGTATAAAGCACCTGGAGCGATATCTTAGGGTACTCTCAAATACAGGGTTATGAACTCGAAAATTAAGGAATCTGGGAATAACATCATAAATTTTACATAAATTCAGGAGCTTGACGTCTTTTTGCAGTTTCTTGGAACGGTAGGAGAGCTTTTCGGTCCTCCTAAAACTGCCCAGTGCTGTCTTGCCATATTTGCATTTTAAGCAAAGACGACTATCATCAGAAAGTACTTAATATTCTTAGTGACCATACGAAATTCAAGAGAATCACTACTGAAATGTACACTCACTTGTTATACCTTGAAGATAAGTTAAAAAGACTACTCCGGACCATTAAATCATCCATTGATGCAAGCACCTATAATTTCCTGTCAACCTCGGGT